ATCGCCTACTCTTTTTAATACCCTTTGTGACTATGAAAAAGTGATTAACGGCGTCGAAACGCATGCAGTCTTATCAGCGCTCGTCGACCAAGAAGTGGACCCGTCCTATATACGAACATTGGTAAACTGTTATAGCAACTATAGCAGAAATATACAGCTTTTTCATTCACACCTCACCATACTCATAGGAAAAGGGATTCGACAAAGCGAAACAAAATCACCAAAACTGTTTACTATCGCACTGCAGGGAAAAAGGATTACTGCGCACAAATAGAACGGATACTCAGCACGTGAAGAAGCGATGGATGGAATGTAAACGAACCGAACTGGATGACCCTCTGATTACAGAAACCACCTCGCAGATGTACTCGTGCCTTTGGTGTTAAATGAACATGGAGAACAACATGAAGGAGGAATTAGCCAGAAGAAGGAGAACAGCTAGGGCCGCATTCGGGGCACTCAAAGAAGCTGCCGAACAACTAACGGACCCACAATACGCCCATGTTTTCGACGCAAATGTTGCTCAAGCACTATCATACGTCGTAAAAGTGGGCTGATACTTCAACCTGTCACCTGTATCACCTGTACTACCGTGAATCGTCGAGTGACTCGAGCCGGCACCAGTAAATCGTCCATTTTTCCCTGTCGTGTGCAAGAGTAGCCCAGTGGGTTCTGCTCGCTCTAGGGACTCGACGAGCATCACTTCTTTCTTCTGGGCTTTTCGTGAAGAACTCTGAGCATCGGATCGGTGGTCTTCCTGCAGTACGTTTGACATCCCGAGGAATCCAGTCACTGACAGCTCTTGTCCATCGGTTGTCATTCACACGCATTACTTGTCCGGCCCACCTTATCGTCGGGTGTTTGGCGTACAGAACGGCATCTTTGATTTTTGGTTGTTGAAGCAGATCGGAGCTTCAGATCCCATACCTTACTTGTCTGAAACGGGATACTCCTAACATCGTTCTTTCGACTGCGCGTTCGATAATGTTGAGTGATTTCTCATCTTGCTTACGCATCGACCAGGTTTCTGACGCATACGTTAGAGCAGGAAGTATCGTTGAGTCGAAAAGGTAGGCACGGAGTCGGGTGATCTCTGTTCTCTTCACTACATCCTCGATGCTCTTGAAAGCTCCCCACGCCACTCGTTTTCTTCTGTTCAGCTCTTGAACTAGGTCGTTCATCATATTGATTTCCCGATCTAGATAGACATAACTGGAGCATTCGGCGATATTCGTTCCGTTGAGCGTGAATGGGGCATACAAAACCAATTCGCTCCTCATAAACATCGTTTTAGTGAGATTTAGTCGAAGACCAATCTTTCCACAGGCTTTCATCAAAGTCGTCGAGCAAACGTTCCGCTTGGCTAATGTTTGGTGCTATAAGGACGATGTCACCAGCAAAGCGAAGATGGTGTAACTGACGACCATCGATTTTCACTCCCATGTTATCCCATTCCAATGTTCGCATGACGTTCTGGAGAATGGCGGTAAATAATTTTGGCAAGATGGTATCGCCTCGTCTAACTCCTCTTCTGACATCAATGTTGATATCGTCGTAGAATGGTGATATATTGGTTGTAAAATTTTTGTACAACTCAAGAAGAATCTTTATATACTGAGTAAGGACTCCTTGACTATCAAGGGCTTCCATGACTGCTTCTATCTCAATTGAATCAAACGCCTTCTGTAAATCGATGAAAGTGAGACAGAGCGGTCATCTATACTCTCACGACACTTCAATAGTCCGTGTTATCGTGTGGATGTGGTCCATCGTACTAAACCCATTTCGAAACCCTGCGTGCTCACATGGCTCTCTTTCGCCCAGTGTTCTATCAATCCTGCTCAGGATGACTCAAGTGAAAAGTTTCTAGACCACAGACAGCAACGGATCGGGCGATAGTTGCCTATATCGTACGTCACCCTTCTTGAACAATAACTCGGTCTTGATGATCTTCCACTAAGTACAGACCTTGCATTCAGACAAGTAACGTGTGAAGAGCCGAGCCAGTGTGTTTACGAGGACTGGCGAAAGGTTCTTCAGGTGCTCTGATCTTATTTTTCCGGATCTGGTGCTGTTTTTCACCAACGAAATGGCATGACGGATTTCCGAAGGGAGAACCGGTGGTACAACATATCCATCCTACTTTATTTCATATGACGGAAGGTGGACGTGGCTATCGAAAGATCTGAGCAGTATTCGCGAATGATTTTCTCCACTGCCTTTCTGGACGCTGTAACTGTTCAGTCTGGGGGTCGGAGTGCAATCATCTCAGACCTGTAATTGGCGAAGCTTCGGTGAGCTTTGCGAACGCTTTTCCCAGCCTCTGCAGCTTCGACCGTTACTGCTGGCTGCTCTTCTCTCTTCAAGATCTCCTTTTATCGCCTGTCTGCATTGTTTTGCAAGTTCGGACGTTAGTTCGCGGTTGCCTGGAGCGCGTGCGATTACGCTGGCGTATCAGCTCCGAGTGTTTCTGGAGACATAAGTCTCTTAGTGACTTTCGAACTCTCAGCTTTCACAGCGCTAACGTGAAGATGTTGAATGGACCGATCGTATTGTTCGTCGATTGTATTGACAACGGCATCCTCCCAACAGCGCACTAATGAATTGAATAAGTCCCAGTTCACGGTGACTCTACGACTTCGGTTTTTGAATTTAGCCGTTTTTTCTCCCTTCCGCGAGAAATAGAATTTTACACGAAGGAGACGGTGGTCTGATCCCGTGAAGAATTTTGGGACAACAGCGACATCGGTTAGACAAAATCTTCTATTTACTATGATGTGGTCTATTTCGTTGTGGTACTCTCCAATGGGAGACTCCCACGTCCAGCGTTGAGGGTGGAGTTTCTGGAGTTGCGAGTCACCATGGATGGTATTGCTCGCCATGGTAAACTCAGATAGCCGCTCACCCTGTTCGTTCCGTTCTAAACCGTGGGTCCCAATGTGACGTTCTTCAAACGTTCTTCTTGGTTCAATCTTCGCGTTGAAATCTCCAGTGATGACCTTGAAGAATGTATGGTCTTTTCTGTTAAAGTTCTCCAAGCCCATATAGAACGCTTCGACTTCTTCGTCATATTTTGATGTCAGCACGTAAACGACGAAGATTTTCAAAGCCGGTATTGATCCACATTTTTTTTAATCGTAAACGTCCGATTCGGATTGTAAGCTGTTCGAATGAATCAATGTTCATAGACAAACTCGTGTTGACGAGAACGCCTGCGCCACTGACTCCTCTACTATCGCATGTTCCGAGGAACAGTTCTTCTCCGGTATCATAGACGGCATTGAATTGGTTGCGTTGTCTTGTCTCGGACAGGCCGATGACGTCGTACCTTATCCTTCTTGCTTGCATAAGCAAGTCTTCTATCGAAGACTCAGATGCAAGTGTAAGTGCATTGTAGGTACAGGTTGTCACCATAGTTCTTTGTAATCTAGGCAGCTTCCATTGCCCCTGAGATTTTAGCAGCCTCTCCGTAGTCATCCTACCTAACGCTGCGAAATTGGGAGCTCCTTCAGGGTCAGGGGAATGAGGCCCATTTTTTTAAACCGTGTTTAGCATTTTGATTCCAACGTATAGCTTGCTGCGCTCTGAACGTGGGAGCTGGGTATACTCACGGGTAGCTTGCCAGGCTCTCCCAGAGTGGGCATGGAGCTTATTTGTTGGAGACGACTCCTAACTGCCTCCCGCCCGTATACTTCCCAGTTACTCGATTGCAGGCTTTTGGCCGAATTGACTCGTAGAATACAATCCGCATAAGTGAGAACGCACCCATACACGCATGCATGAATACGCCTATCAAATACAGAAAGTATGTGCCAAATCAGCTCAGCAGAAACAGGAGTCCATCATCTGATCCACCTGCCTCTCAGAGAAGCAAAGGTCGCTTTTGGTCCGTGATTAACCCCATATCCTCCACCTGGGGACGCGCCACCTAGCCTCGCGACTAACCGGATCGAGATCCCTCATATTAGGGAGATCCGTGGGATACTTCAACCACAGCAAAAAATCTAACACCATTCGAACAATGTTTTCAAAAATTTGACCGGCACTTGCAACGCCTAGCCGGAACGCACAGCTCAGATCTTCAAAACCTATCTCCTGTTCGGGATGTAGGAGAACATATTTCGATGGCGAAACACGGATGGCCCGCTCACGTAATGAAAAGATGACAAATGAATGAATATAAGAGTGGAGTGAACTCCAAGAAATTGCAAGCAACCTTTTGGAAGACCATGCAAGCGATGAGCGGACGTGCTCTGGGCGAACGTCAACCATCTGCAGTCGCAAATAAGACCTATTTTAGAAATTCGGAATGTGCTCCGCGTACATCACCACTTTCAAGGAGCTCTCACCATGGACCACGATTAAGCAACCTCGCATAACTACTGAAGACGGGCCATCCAAGTAAGCAAAGGTGAATGATTGTAGCAAGGTGAGCCAAACATACCTTCGTCAGCACTTCATTGGCCATTTGACGGAACGAAAGTCGTGCTCTTCTATATTGGGCTTCTTCTCCCTTTTCATCTAGTCGACTTCCCTCACTCGTGTTCAAATGCTTCAAAATAATTCCTTGAATTCTAGTATATTAAGTTTGGCATTAAGAAGCAATACAAATCGAGCAGAAAAAATGCTCGTGATAGCTATCAAAACTTCTAAGGTTCTCAGAAAAAAAATACAATTCCGAAAACCCCAGTGGTTACCAGAAGATTCAGAAAAACCCAACATATGTAAACATACTACCTCGGTTAGACGAGCTTTCTCCATTTCTTCATCGAGATCAATCTCTCGCTCGGAAGGCTCCGATAGCGATTCATATGAATCTGTTTGTGTAGCACTTCTAAATAAGATTCGCAAAATTATATTTCTTATTTACTCAGGTTCTATAGAAGCCATCCCGATGCATACGAACAACATCACAGCTTCTAGGAACAGCTAATTTTTCTTAGAAATCTCAGGCGCTAATTCATGGTGGCCGCATGCACTTTGGTGGTTTCACTGTGTTCTCACCCAGCCAATGATGAAACAAGATCGCTTGCGAATGAGGCGGTGCTCGACGTTATCTTGAAGTCGTTCATCACATTCGCCAGCTCTTCCTGCTCAGGACTCAAATAGACGTCAATATCCGCATCCATCTGAATCTCAAGGCATGAAATCTCGTCCTCTTTTCTAAGGAGCACTGGAGCAGTTGGGATCACAATATCGGAATTTAACCTTGAATAATAATCATGTAGTTCACTATCGACTTAGCTCCAGAAGAGTAAATTATATGGCAATAAAATAAAACTATTTAGATTTTTCTAAATTACTGAATCAAAAAACCTCTCTTCTAGATTTTCTACTGATCAGTTCATAAAAGAGGTAAAAAACATATTGAAAATTAACAGAAAAACAATATACCTCCTCCATAGACAGTGACATTTTTGATGCGTTCGAATGGCATGAATCGGAAAGTGAAACAAGTTTCTAAAACATTTGTGGATCTAGAAGGGTACCATCGTTTGCAAATTTCGGCAAACTCACAAGCTGAGGCTTGATGTTGATTTGTGGCCGAAGGTTAACCACCCACGATGAGAGGTATTTCCAACCGGTTGAGATGCCTAACACACTTGTCGAAAACCAGTGCCATACGAATATCGAAGTGATAAAAATGATCATCTGCAACGGACCACTTACGAACGACATCAAGTGGCGAGCTTTCTTAGCAGAAATGAAACGTGGGAAAGTGGTACAAACCTTCTCCTTGTAAACAGATATACTCGACACTAGTGGGATGATGCGAGCACCTTTAATCTGTACATGTAGAATTATGAACTGTGTGATTCCAAATAGAACCGCATAGAGGAGATAGAGGTGAAAGAGAATAAATGTGAGGAAGTATTGCAGTGGCCGATGTAGATATTGCGGAGAAAAACGATCCTGGAAACCTTTGATACTTTGTATAATAATTTCCTCTCCGCCTTCCTACAGTTTCCCTAAACAGAATTTGAACACTGATACCTTATTTGAAGCTCTATTAATTGTTCAAAACCGTTTTATACGTTACAAGGATCACAATGATCTTCTTTTTATTAAAGCTGGTCAGAATAAGGACATAAATGACTAAAAATAAGTTCCTATTTTTTTCAAAACAAAACATGCTTCCACAGCTCATTCACAACAAGAATGAATAAGAAAGGAGGAAGTTTTGAAGATGCTGCTGCATTCCGGGGCATGTGACTTTGGATATCTGCATAAGGTCGGCTAGTAAGGCGTTCAAGAAAAACTCAGTAGTCATGGACCACTTGTTAAGAATATAAAAATGAAATCACCTACATTGATCTGTGTTTGGCGTACACAACTCACCAGAAATCTGTTGTAAATATCGGCAATTTCTTGAAATTTCACTCCTGAAAAACCTTTGTTTAAATTTTTATAACTGCACTATTGCTAGGTAATGCTCATAACTTAACATACTCCGTCAATATCTACGCTTTACATGGACTCACAGCTCAATCAGTTTGCTACTAGTTTCTCACACAGCAATAACGGTGTAAAATCAACGGAATATGGAATATCACAGAACGCTATCAAGCACGCTACCGAAAGAACAACGCTGGAACTATCCCGTATCGTGCAGGCTGCAAAAGCCCGAAGTTCCGACCTAAACCGACATACAAGGGTCATTGACGTCGTATTATACGCTAAGATGCAGAAAATCATAGGGGTGGATGCATAATGGTCCTAATGACAACCACTGGACATTAACCGTTAGCGACCAGATCGTATGGAAATACGGTTAAAACTCTGAGACAGATATTTGCAAAAATTCTAGAAAGAAACTATGTTGTTCTTCTAGACGATACAGTGAGCACGACACACTGTGCTACTCATGAATGCGACGGGAACAAATGGAGTATTTCCACTTGCCTGTTCAAGTCAGTCAACTATTATCGAGTGGACAGGTGATAAAGAAGCAAATAAAAGACGAAGCTTTCTAAAAACTTGGAGAGAGTAGTCAGCTTTGTGACGAACCTCGCGAAATTTTCATGAACATTGTTCGAATCGCCTCTTTTCCCTCACGGACACATGATTTCCACATGATCTTCATGGAAGAAATGAACGTTCCACGCATGACCGAAGCACTATGCCATATTGTTATCAGTTATCTCTCCGAGATAATCATGAGCAGGTATATCTTCTTTAATGATTAAGCTAACACCTGGCTGTTATGAAGTTGTATTCGGATAACGTTTCCACGATTTCATCACTTTCAAAGCTCTATTAATCTATATGATCTCGAAGTTGATTCACCAAAACCGCTCGCCCTGCCGGTGCGGCTCGTCGTTATTGCATTGAGTGGTATCATTTGGAATTGAAAACCGGAAAAAATAGAAAATGAAGTGAAATGGAGGTAGAAAAATAAGAATAAAACCTGTCAATTACATACCACAGGTGTTTCTCAGTTTTTGACTTCTTGTTTTTCCAGTTGACCAGTGATTTCATCGAAAGGTGAAGTTGGCGTAATGTTCTAACTCAATAAAAGATGATCACCTTCTTGTAACACTCAAAACAGGACAGTTAGCGGTGCCGCACTACAAGCTTCAAACCTGGGTAATTAAGCATTCGTATATAAGAGATATAAAAGTAATAACATGAACATAGTAATACGGATAGTAATACTTACTTCCTTGGTACTTGAACGGCTCATCCATACTCGTTATGCGGGGTCCAGCATAGTCTTTATTTTTCGGAGATTTGCTGGTTAAGCCATTGTGGTTCTCTGGAATCCCGAGATCAGCCTGGCCAAAGTCTGCCCCAGGTCGTCACCACAAAAGGTAGTCGCAGCCCTTGTGGATCAGAAGGAGATTTACCACCATGCGACTTTGATTCCACGACGGTGGTGGATCCTGAAGGATACCTCACCACAAATGGTTTGAGACGATGAGTTCCAACAGTTGAAACTAATCACGCCTCTGATGCTCAAGTTAAGTGTAAGAAAGAGTAATGACTTGATTTCGTGAGTTATTTCAAAAGCTGATGACGATTTTTATGTACTTTCTGAAGGCTGGTGTTAATGTAGCACATGTAACCCTTCCTAAGCTAATAATTTTAGATGCTCGCAGATGTTCAAACTCATAGACATTACCCAACGCTTTCCAGCCGGGTGCTATGCAAGATCGTAAAAGAACTATTACTAAGCATTTAACAGATAATGTGATTATTTCAAAATTGTTCATAACTTCACACCACCAGATATCGGATAATGAGCTGAATCCGACACCTCTTTCATCCAGTTCCTAGTTACACATCCATCATACGAGAAGCTCATCGAACTTCCACTTGAGCTCAGCTACTGCTTAACGACTTCTAGTCTTCCGAATGTCGTTCAGTGCTAGTGGAGTCGATTCTCCGTCGAATCATGGGATATTGAGGGACTACCTCTACTTCGTAAAAAATCCTCTCTAACTCTTTTTTATATAATCTTTCTGATACAATAAAGACGTAACGGATTTAAGGCAGGTAGTTTCATATACTGGAAACCATCTCAACCGGAGTCCTTAGAATAATAATTCCTACCAAGTTCCTGTTCTCGACTCTAGGAATATGATTTAAGCCGGAAAGAGTAGATGAACTGTACGAAACAGAATTCGAGATGCTAAGAGCGCTATAAAATGGCGTCACGAAATATATGATGTAGAAGAAAATGGAAGGCAATGAGTTTAAGAATAGCAAAAAAAAACCATGCATGCCACTTCAAAAGACCAGCATATAAGCGGAAGATATAAGCAATTCGATACCACAGTTCTCAATAGCCCTAAATCTGAAATATACCTTACGGCAAAAATGAAAGCGCAACACGCAAATGCTGCCAAAGCAAGCATTCTGTATTGAACTAAAAAGTATAATCTGCTCCATTATTCCATTAAAAAAGCCATATTCCGCTGCACTGACAAGTACAGCACAGCATTGATAAGGCGTTCCAAGATTCTCGTCGCAGACGATCGCTATCCACTGTGCAAAGAAGGACTTCCAAGATTACTCTGATACCAATTTCACGATGCCGGTGGGTCGGACGTTGCGGTTGCTGGTAGGCAGCTTTCCCATTGTGCTACCCAATCTCTAATTTCGTAGTATGTTAGATGGAAACCATGAATGTCAAAGAGTATGCAAATGACATAAGAACATAAAAGTAAGAAGCATATCACAGCATTAAGAGATAGTGAGTATTCACTATGTGGTGAATAGCTCAGTTGTCACATGAGACAAAAAATGTTCATCAGCTTTGTGCGACAATCTCATTTGCTTTGCTAGTTACCTCTAATTTCATTAAATCCTTCTAAAGAATGGGAACTATTAAGATCAACATAAATTGAACAGTAAATCATGTAGTACTTCAACACAATTTCATAAGTATTGTTCAGCCTCGTAGATTTTTGCAAAGATGTGCTGTAAAATTCCTATGACGTGGTCATCGGCCAGCAGCTATCGGTTGTCATTCGGTCCGATCGTGACCAAATTCGAACCTCATCCACATTTGGCAGTTGAAAAATTGACGGCTTCCAACAGAGATAAAAGCCGACTGATTTGCTCTACTGATTGTGTTTCAACAATATCACCACATAATTATTTAAACGTCTTATTCGTCACCGGTATTTTCTTCACTTCCGTGAAGATTGGTTGGCTTGCCTCTTCACACGTTAACTGTGCGAATGCAAGGTTTATATTCAATGGAAGGATATTAAGACCATGTCATTGTTCAAGAAAGCTAACTTCCACGATATCGGAAACTATCGCCCAATCTGCTCGCTGTCAAATTTTTCACTGGAATCACCTTCAGTAGGATTATGGACCCTAGATTAAGGCCCGTCGTGAGCAGGCAAAGTTTCGAAAAGGATTCAGAACGATTGACCACATCCACAAGATAATAAGCCTCATCGAAATATCGCGAAAGTATATGAGAAGGTTGTTTTTCATTTTCATCGACCTAAAAAAGGCTTTAAACTCAATTGAGATAGAAGTGACCATAGCTCTGGACAGTCAGGGTGTCGCTACTACCCTCCTGTATATAATGGTCTTTCGTGACCAGTAGAAAAAACTTCGTAACCAAAATATCACCACTTCACAATGATATTAACACCCACATGAATAAAGGGGTTACACGAGGTGATATTATCTGGACAGATTTATTTTCAAATACACTTGAAAAGAACTGAGCAGGAGGAAGCGATCAGCTTGGAAAGTTTTCAGGAGGATCGAAGATGTGGTGAGGCGAACAAAGATCTCCGTGCCCACCTTTCCGACTCTACGATACTTCTTACTTTAAATTATGCGTCTGAAATCTGTTGACTACGTAAAGAGAATGATGTATCAACCAGCGTTATTGAACGCACAACCGAAAGGTCGATGTTAGGAAGTATCCCGTGTCATATAAGTCATACAAGTAAGGGAAGCGATTCGGAACTCCGACGTGCGTCAACGATCAAAAATCAAAGATGCCGTTCTATGCGCCAGACTGTCGAAGATAAGATGGGCCGGTTGCGTAATGCTAAAGATAGTCGGACTGGATTCTTCGGATGTCAAGCACAAGGTAGGAAGATCACCGACCCGATGGTCAGCGTTGTTCACGATAATCGTAGAAGAATCATATGATGCTCAACGAGACCCTAGAGGCAGCAGAACCCACTGGTCTGCTCTTGCACGCTGCAGGGAGAAATGGAAGTCCAAGTCATTCGACGATGAGTAAGATGACAGGTGATGAGATGACCGTAATGTTTCATAACATGCTTCTGAACTCTTGTAGATGAGAATGTTAGTTTTTCACGGGTGATTAACAATTCTTAGCGTAATTACAACGATATAACTCATATATAAACCATATGTTACAGGGAATAGTTTAAGCTTTCGACTTCGAATAAACATAACTTGCTTTCAACTTTATTAATTAAAATGGTAACTCTTTGAAAATACAGGTCTTTAAAAACATGATTTAGCCTTTTCATTCCACCATTTTGAACTTTTGATTTTGCGCAGCCCGCTAGTTCATTCGTTCTCCCACTTTCCGTCATTTGCGATTGCTGCAGCTACATTAAAAATTGAAGAACTGATTCTTTCCAAACCAGTGAAAATTCGAATTTGCAACAAATTCTGAATAAAAATATGCTCTAAAGAAACTATGCATAGAGAACTGTCGATGCAAGAAAGTCTAGTTTACAAATCTATGTGGAGCGAGAGTTACCAGAAAACCTATAGCGTCATTAAAGGTTAATTGATGTTATTGGCAATTCCACGAAAATCCCATCCTTTCATACAGTTTTACTTGAAAACTGCTTGCTTTATTAGAAGAAAATTACCTTCTGAAGCGGATTAACATCGCTCAGTTTTATTTTACTCTCCAGAGCACAGAGTTCTGCAAAAGCATGACGGATGTGCCTATTTCCTTACGATCACATTCCAGAGTCAATAATAATTCATTTGACTACTACTAAAGTGTTTCTAACCCGCACATGTGTTTTTATTTTGTGAAGAGATCGGTAGGAGCTGTTGATTCATGTAATGAAGAGCCGTGCCTACAAAAAGTAGCACGGGAACTATAGTACTGCGGTCCAGAGTTTTGCAAATATCTCAGCAACGTTGTGCTTGTATTTCGCTTAGTACCCTGCCGCGAAATTATAGTAGGCAGAAAACAAAACGGTATAGCTATACTAGTTTTCAATAATATCGTATAGATAGAAGCGGATACTAATAATAGTAGATCCAAGGAACTCCCTCAGAGAAGGATATCATGCCGACTAGTCAAGGCAACGTGGCGCATCCAAAGGTGCAGATAAGGGGTTAATCGCGGACCAAAAGCGACCTTTGCTTCCCTGAGACACAGGTGGATCCAGAAGATGGGCTCTCTGTTTCTGCTGCACCGGTTTAGCTCGCACCATATGTATTTACGAGGGCGTATTCATGCACACGTGCGTGGATGTGCTCTCACTCACGTGAATTGAATTCTACGAGTTAATTCGCCCAAAAGTCTGCAATGAAGTGATGGGAAGTATATGGGAGACGGTTAGGACTCACCTCCAATAAATAAGTTCCGCCGTCCATTCTGGGAAAGACTAGCAAGCTACCAGTGTGTATACCCAG